ACGGCTGAGAGGGCAGAGCTTGGTGCCCACGGGGAGTAAGTGCGGGGCTCAGCGGGCTCCCTCAGACCCACTGAGGCAGAGGCACGAGATGCCCAGGTGCTGGGAGAAGGGTATGGGGAGGAAGGGGCATGGGTGGCCCTGCTACTGCTGGCAAGAGGTGGCCCCATTTTTTCCAGATGGGGAAACTGAGGCACGAGGAGGTTTGGGAACTTGCCCAAGTCACTCACAGTGAGTCAGCTTTTGGGAGAGGGCAGCTCACACTGGGAGACAAGGTCGCACAGACCTTGCACTCCCATTGGGGAGCAAGGACAGGCAAGAAGGGCCCAAGGGCCAGGGCTGCCCAGAGGGGAACACTTGGCCTTTCCAGGGGGGATGGTGGGGAAGGTCTGCTTGGCACTGGGCAGGGCCAAGTCCAGTGAGGGAGCATGGGACGGGGGCATTCTGGTGAGAACAGCATTTCTGGCAAGACAGGCATCCACTTCAAAATCTCGGCTCAAAAAGGGCAGCAGGGCTGTTCTCAAGCCAGACAGGGCCCCCAGTTCCCACAGTTCTTCCCAAGAGGCCTGCAGCCCCATGGAGGACCCTGGCCGGAGTCTGCTGTTAGGAGGCAAGGGCAGGAGGGGCGATGTCCCCACATTCTCTGAACAGAGTGGGTGTGGGGAGCAAGAGGGCGTGCCAGCAGGGCACCTGTCCGTGGACAGCCCTGCGCACCCCCCCAGCCTGCCCCGGCCCCTCGTTCACATCTGTGTTGGCGTGACCTCGGCACCGCGCGGAGGGTGGGGGAGGAAACCAGGGTTAATGCGAATGTCAGCACCTCAGAGCAGCTACTGAGATGGGAGAGAGCGCGTCAAGCCGAGAAAGGCCTCCCATCACCAGAAGCGAGGAGGGACTGGTGGGTGGAGGTGGAGAGGGGCTGGCAAGAAGGGGCTTCTGAGCCTCGGGGTGAGGAGGGCCCATCTGTGAGCTGTGGACGCCCTGCTGTCTAGCCAGGCTGGGGGCAGGGAGTAACCATGGTCCGAGCCACCTGACGATGGGAGAGAAGTTGGTTTCAGTATAAAAATAAATATATTTGAATTCCACTTAAGATGAGGTGAAGGTTTTCCAAGCTTGGACTGAGGGGCCTGGGGTCAGAGGGGAGGGAAGAAAGTGGCCGGGGGAGGGGCCGGGAGAACGGTGGGGAATGGGCATTCGTTTGGGGAGCCAGCAGCGAGCTGCACTTCCAGCTTATCGGACTGTGGGGAGCAGCTGCCGGGCGGCGGCTGGCGGGCTCCCTCCTCCTCCTCTCACTCAGTCCAGAGACAGCATGGTTGGAGAGACAGAGGTAGATTAAAACGTCATGATTAAAAGCAGATTAGTTATCTAGGCTTCTCTGATTAAAACAAACAAACAATCGAGCAATCATTCCAAAAGGTAGCTTCGTGGTACCTCTGCTGACCCCATGTGTGACCTGGGCTGTCCTGGCGGCCCTGTCCCAGCCCGGAGAGTTCGGCCCTCCAGGGCCCGCCCCCGCAGGGCATGGGCTGGAGCCGGGAGAGGTGGTGGTGGTGCCGGTGCCCAGCCTGAGGGCTATTTCCGCAGGCAGCGCTGTGCCAGGATGGCTGCGTCCAAGGGGTTCATGGGCTGCGCGTCGTGGCCCAGCCGGCGCACCAGCGGCGCGCTGCCGAACTGCCGCTTGGGCACCCAGCTCCGGGCCTCGTGGATGGAGCTCTTCTCCTCGGCCAGCAGCAGCTGCTGCCGCATGTAGTTCTCAAACTCGTACTGGGAGCACTCCTCTGTCACCTTCGCCTGCGAGGCACAGAGACAGAGACAGACAGAGAGAGGAGCGGGCGATGGGCAGAGAAGAGCAGGGAGTGTGTCAGATCACCGGGCTCAGAGGTCCGTCCCCAGGCCCCACACCCTTGGACCCCATCCAGCTGAGGCAGAGTGTGGGCCCCTGAAGCCCCCAGCCAACCTGGACCTCGCCTTGCTGGCCACCCTGGGTGTCACTCCAGCTGAAGCAGACCTGGCACCTGAGCCATATCCCCCACACTGACTCCAAAACTTTGGCTTCCTCGCCTGCGAAGTGGACAATAAGCTCCCCTCAGATTGTCAAGAGCCTGGGAGGGGCCAGTGCAGGGCGAGTGTTAAAAAAGAGGCCTCGGGCTGGCTGGTATGGCTCAATGACTGGAGCATCAGCCTGTGCACCGTAGGGTTGCAGGTCCGATTTCCGGTCAAGGGCACATACCTGGGTTGTAGGTTTGATCCCCAGCCCTGGTCCAGGCATGTGCAGGAGGCAACCAATCTGTGTCTCTCTCATATCAATGTCCCCGCCCCTCCCTCCCCCATCTCTAAAAAATACTATCAATGAGGATTAACAAAAAAGGAGGTCTGGGGCAGCTGTGCTTCTTTATCCTGCCCCACACCAAGCCCCCAGAGTGGCCCAGGCAGACAGGGACCGACTGAAGTGGAAGATTCTGGTGCTAATCAGCTGAGGGGGAAAGCAGGGCTATGGAGTCAACTTGGATTCAAGGCTCAGCTCCACTACTTCCAAGCTGTGTCACTTTGGGAAACCTATTTACCTCTCTGAACCCCAGTTCCCACTTGTGAGACGCGGATGAGAGCGTGGCCACACAGGACTGAGGGAGACGTGCCGTGGGCATGCCTCGTGTGCCCTGGTCATCACCTCAGCTGCTGAACATGGTGGGGCCGGTGGGAGCTGGGGGGTAGCCTGGGGCTCTCTTCCCAGGGCCAGGACGCTCTGTTGTGGCCCCAGGCTGGTGCCTCCCGGTGCTGCCTGCCCAGTGTACCCCTCCCAAGGGCCTGGCCAAGCTCTGTCCTCCAGGGGGCACCCTAAGATCACCCAGTCGCTGCTGCCTGTGCCGTCTCTGCCCTCTGGGCCCAGCACTTTCTCCAGTGTGGGGAACAGAGGAAGAGAGAAAACGGGGAGAAAATGAATCATTTGGAAAATGAAAAGCAGGAAGGCTGAGAGAGAACCATGTGAGTCAGAGGGGCAGAGAAATGTGACTGTTTAAAGGGCCAGCCCGTGGCAGGAAGGGGAAGCTGAGGGAGGGCCAGGCAGGGCCAGGCAGGGCCGCTGTGGGGCCTCCACCTCAGCCGCCCTTTCTCAGGCCACAGAACCTCCAGCTGAGCTGGACACGAGGCAGGCCCCGGCAGCACAGGAGGCCTGAGGTCTCCCTTTCCCACTCTAAGAGCTGGGGACAAAGCTGAGAAGGCCCTGCAGCCTGCTGGGAGCTGCCACCTCTGTCCCTGCCTGGCTTGCCTTCCTTGCAGGCTGGTCCCCCAGGACTTGGGCAGCAGCCTGTCTGTCCTTCCCAACTCACCTCCTGGGAGCTGTCCACACTGCTCATTTGGTCGTCGATGTCAGGGACCACCTGCAGAGGCCCGCTCAGAGACGACAGGGACTGCCTGCAGGGGAGGCAGGCACGTCACACGTCAGCTCAGCTCTAAGCCGCCCAGCCCCCGCTCCCCGGTCCTCACTGCTCTAAAACTTAGTTGGAGTCAAAAGACCTGGGTTGGGTCCCAACTCAGTCCCTTCCTGATGTGATCAACTCTGCTTCTCCAAGCCTCTGTTTTCTCATCCAATAATGGGGGACAATTTCTACCTCACAAGCTGTGTGTGGTTAGAACTCAGTGAGATAACATCTGCATCGATGGCGGACAGGAGGTGCTGGAGCCAAGTGCTCCAGGACCCTCCCAATCTTGCCCCATGGGAAAATCTGGAAACTGGACTCTGCCTGGCAGAGAAACAGGCCCACCCTCAGGCTTCTTTCCTGGCAGGATGGGCAGAACCCAGCCGGCACCAGTCCACTCACCACGAAGCGATGATGGCACTGAGGGCTTCCAGGACGTCGGCGGCAGCCAGGCGCTGCTGGGGGTCGAGGACCAGCAGTTTCCGGATGAGACACACGGTGCTCTCAGAAACCCGCCCGTCCCTGGCGCAGGAGGGGAAGAGGGGGAGGCCCAGGTGGGTGAGCTGGGCTGGGCCTCGGACCCAGGATTCCAGGCCTCGTTGTGTTGTCTCTCCCATAAGCCTCAGCGGCAGAGCCTCCCTCCCTCCCCTCCCCGGGGACCAGGACTCACTCCGGGATGGTGTACTCGGCGGCCTTGATCTTGCGGAAGAGCTCCTGGGGGATGCTGTCGTAGAAGGGGAACTGGCCGTAGAGCATGGTGAACAGCACCACGCCCAGCGCCCACATGTCACTCGGCTTGCCCCGGTATGGCCGGCCTGTGGGCACACAGAGGCACCGCTTAGCACACACCCCAGAGAGAGACTGCCCTGCGCCTCCCACCGCTTACCAGCTACCTGCTAAAACCTATCCAGGGACCCCTCGACCTTGCCACCTTCTTTCCCTTCAGGTCACCCTGCCCCCTTCCTCCCAGAGCGAGCTCTTACCCTAGGGGTGTCGAACTCAATCAGAGAAGGGGCCAAAATCTAAAATCCAGCCTAAATCGCGGGGCCGAATGGTTTACTGAACAGTCATAAACTGTCATTGTGATGGAAACGCAGCGGAATGCAGTGATGGATTTGGCCCGCAGGCCTTGTGTTTGACACATGTGTCTTACCCAGTCTCCACCTCCCCTCCCTAACCCCGCCCCTCCCCGCCCCGTCACTTCAGGCGGATTCAGCTCTTGCTCTGGAGACCCAGCTGGGGGGCGGGGGGGGGGGGGGGGGGGGCGGGAGGGAGGGGGGGGTAGGGCGGTGATACCCCACCTTGGGTGTGCCTCCTGCCTCTTCCTCAAAGCACCAGCGGGGCTGCCAGCTCTCGGCCCAGCTCCTAGCAGAGCGGCTCACGGAGCAGGAGGGCCATGTGCGTGTGGAACAAAGCTGGGCGGCTCTGGACAGTCAGCCACACCCATCACGATTCCCTCATAGCACTGAGCTCTGTAAGGACCCCTTCTTTGTCTGTTCCCCGTCCCCTATGGGAAGGCGCGCTTTCGCATGCAGGGGCTTCTGCTTCGCTCCCTGCTGAGCCTGCACCCAGCACGCGCTCTCATTGGCTGGGCCCTGCACCCAGCACGCGCTCTCATTGGCTGTCCAGTTGGGTCAACTCTCGGGGCTAACACTGGAAGAAACACTTCCATCTCATTAACCCTCTACCACAGCTCTGTGAGGGTCTAGTAATAATTAATGTCGTTTTTAAACATTTAAAATCTTGCTTGGCGTTGACTTGTATTGACATAACCTTCAAACACGTGGTATCTACAGAACGTGTGAAGTTCAATTAACAAGTTTTGCTTGAAAAAGTTTGTGTTTGGTTTGGTTTTTGTTGCAAAACTAGGGCTAAGAAGATGGCGGATGAAGAGCATATTCGGCACTGCATGCTTTACGAGTTCCAATTAGGAAGAAAAGCAAGTGAGGCTGCAAAAAACATCTGTAGTGCTCTTGGTCAAGATGCAGTTAGCGCCAGAAAATGCCAGCGTTGGTTTGAGAAATTTCGCGAGGGAAATTTTTCGTTAGATGACAAGAGTGGTCGAGGCCGTGTGTCCAATTTTGATTAAGAAGCTCTTCAAGCTCTTTTGGTGCTAAATCCTCAAATTACCCAACAAGAGCTTGCGACAACTTTAAATTGTTCACAAAAAACAATTTCCAATCAATTGCGTGCACTTGGCAAAGTCCAAAAGTTTGGAAAATGGGTTCCTCATGAGTTGACCGACAACAACCATAATCAAAGAGTCACAATTTGCAGTTCGCTCCTCTCTTATCAAAACCGTTTGCCGTTTTTAGAGCAAATTGTTACGGAGGTGAAAAATAGGTGCTGTATGTTATTTTGAAAAGGAGGCCTCAATGGTTGGACAAAAATGAGGCTCCGCAGCCCACGCCAAAACCTGACTTGCATGCGAAAAAAATGATGTTGTGTGTTTGGTGGAATTTTAAAGGAATTCTTCATTATGAACTTTTACCATCTAACCAAACCATTACAAGTGCAGTGTATAGTGCCCAATTGGAAAGGTTAGCCCAAGCTTTAAGAGAAAAAGAACCCGCGCTGATTAATCAGAAGGGCGTAATTCTTCACCACGATAACGCACGACCGCATACTGCAAGAATCACTGCTGAAAAACTGCGCCAGTTGGAATGGGAAGTTCTCCCTCAACCTGCATATTCTCCTGATAGTGCCCCTTCCGATTACCATTTGTTTCGTTCTTTGCAAAACTTTCTTCTTGGAAAAAAATTTAATAATGAAGAATGCCTCAAAAATGCATTGACCGAATTTTTTGCATCAAAATCACAAGAATTTTACAACAGAGGGATTAAAATGCTTCCTGAGTGTTGGGCACAAGTAGTAGAAAACAATGGCAACTATATTGCTGATTAAATTTTGTTGTATTGTTTAAATAAATTCGATTTAAAAAAGTATTAGAAAACGACATTAATGATTACTAGACCTAATAGTTTCTTTTTGTCCACAGAGTAAACGAGGCCCAGGGATGTGATCTGTCCAGGGCCACATAGCTGATGGAAAAGCGCTGCTTCTCCCATTGCCTGGGAATCTGTGCATCCACTCTCAGCAGCAGAGCTCCTCCCACGCGCAGCCGCTGCCTGACCTGCACACCTAGGATGTGGGAACGACGCCAGCCTCGGAAAGCCCTGCCGCCAGTGCCCGGGACACCAGCAGGCCCCGCGGCCCCAGGCTCCCTGGACACAACTCAGCCCTCCGTGGAAGAGACGCTGCTGGGCACCAGGTCAACCTCTGCTGGGTCCCCCAGCCTCCTGGGTGGCTGGAGGACACTGGTTCCCAAGGGTCCCCCAGGCCCACTGAAGGTCAAGAAGCTTAAGGGGTGGGACTGTGCACGGAGGCACTGTCAGACCTCAGCCTGTGCTTCAGAAGGTATCACAAACCCCCTTCACCAAGCCTGTGACTTCTCTAAGTGGGGGAGAGAGACAGCGACCCCATGAAGCCCCTGAGGCTGGCGAGGCAGCAGTTGTGTGATGAGCTTCTGCCCAGCTCTCTCCCGGAGGCAGCATGGCCCCACCCTTTCCCAACCCCGGATGCTGACCTTTGCTCCCAGGCCCTGCTCCACGTGGGAAAGCAATAGAGTCCACCGGGCCACTGTGCAGCAGCAGGAAGGGGGTCCCCACCAAGATGCCCCAGATGGAGCCTCAGCCAAGGAGGGAGGGAACTGTGCCAGCCCGAGCTGCCCCGCAGGAAGAGCAGGAACTTCCGCTCTGCCCTGGACAGAGATGACAGCTGGGCGCTGCCTCCAGCAGGAGACCTTTCCCTGCACTTTGGCTTCTGGGAAAACACTAACCTTGAAGCTTTCCTTTAGTAATGATGATGCCAGCTAATGTTTACTGAGCCAGACTCGAGGTTAAGGCCTCATCTAATCCCACAGGGACCCAATGAAGTAGATGTTATTAGCTTCCCAACTTTACAGATGAGAAAGTAGAGGTCCAGAGAGGTCAGTAACTCTCCCAAGGTCCCAATTATTAACCAGACCATAAACTCTACGAGGGCAAGGCCAACACTGCTTCACTCAGCTCCAAGGACTAGGCTGTGCTTGGCACACACAATACACTGAGTGGCCAGATTATTATAATCTCTGAACACATAATAATCTGGCCACTCATACACACACACACACACACACACACACACACACACTAGAGGCCTAGTGCATGAATTCGCGCATGGGTAGGGTCCGGCCAGCCTGGCCAAGGGGAGGGGACATGGGTAGTTGGTCGGCCTAACTGCTGGTCGAACCCCTGGTCAAGGGGACAATTTGCATATTAGCCTTTTATTATATAGGATATACACTGAGTGGCCAGATTATTATGCATTCTGAGATCATAATAATCTGGCCACTCAGTGTTAAAGGAGCAGCAGACCTGAGACCAGAACCCACATGCAGGCTGTACTTAAGCATCACACTTCATCCTCTGAACAATGTGGGAGGCGGGACCGTTTCCGTGTGGAGACCGAGGCTCAGGGAGGGGGTGAAGGCCAAGGTCACACAGCTGATTAGAGCCCAGGCCCTGGTCTCTTTCTGGGGCAGTGGTGTCTCTGTTCCATCCTACAAGATGGGAATACGTCTGGAAGGACCAGAGAGAGAAGCCACAGGCAGCAGCCAGTGGCTGCACGTGGAGGCCACCTTAGCCTGGCATTGCTAAGGACAGTCCTGACCAGAGAGCCCTGTCACCCTCAGGCCTACACACACCACAGAGCTGGTTCTCCCTCCTGGCTCCTTTCATCTAGAGATGCTCTGGGGATTGTCATGGAGGGTGTCCAGCTGGACTGGGGGTTGCCCAGAGTCCTCCAGCAGAGGCCAAAGGAATTCCAAACCTCCCATCCCCCCATTCCCCAATCTGGGGGAATGGTACCACTACCCTCTACGGACAGGTAGCCCTGGCATTCCAGCAGAAGCCTGGGCTGGGGAGGCCTCCGAGAGGACTACAGATGCTTATGGTCAATTACAGCAGCCAGCCTCCCAGGAAGGCAAGCACGACTCTGTGACTGCGAGGAGGGTACACCTGTGTGTGCTGGTGGTTACACACCCCGGGGACAATCCTGGGCCTTCTTCACATGGGAGAGACTCCGCTGACATAAGCCCTTGATCCCCTACGCTGCAGGCGTCTTCAAACTACGGCCCTCGGCCACATGCGGCCCGCAGAGGAGTCTGATCCGGCCCGCCAGGTTTTTTGGGCAGTGAGCGCAGCCGAGGTGTTACAGTAGGAATTAGTAGTTCATATAGTCCGGCCCTCCAGCTCTCTGAGGGACCGTGATCTGGCCCCCACTTTAAAAAGTTTGAGGACCCCTGCCCTACGGGATCAGGAGAGACCCAATTTGGTAAAGAATGAGTGGGAAAAGGAAAGAAAACCTCTGGTGAAACAGGAGCCTGGGCTTGGGCAGGAGGCAGCCCTGGGGTCCAGCCTTCGGGTTTATGATTAGCTATGACTTTGGACAGAGGCTGAATCTCTCTGAGCCTTGGTTTTCTCATCTGTAAAAAGGAATACCAGCAGGATGAGTGAATGGATGACGGAACCAAGGGAGTGAAGTCTGAAATGCAAATCTCATCCTGGCACCCTCGTCAAGACCTGTTCAATGGCTTCCTTTTGCACTTGAAATAAAGGATGGCGTTTGTTTCTCAATGAGGCCTCCATCAGCCCTTTCACGGTCTGGCCCCCACCTCTCTGGCCTTGAGCCAGGCTCACTTTCTGAGCAACAGCCACAGGGGCCCCCAGTGGTTCTCCTGCAATGTGCTGTGCTGCCTCCACCCAGTCACACTCCCCAGGATTCCCACTTATCCTTCCCATCTCAGTTCAAATGTCACTTCCTTGGGGAAGTCCAAGTGCCTTATGTACATGAACAGAAATCCTCCCTGCCAAGCACTAGTCTCAGAGATTGACGAAATGTGCACTGGTGTGGCACTGCTGTCTTCGTCCTCCATGAGGCCCCGAGGACAGTACTGGCCGAAGCCATCAGGAAGCCACAGACAGGGTCTGGGGAAGGAGCGAACTGCTGGGCGCCTGGCTGTGTGCTGGCCAGGCCCACTGCCTGCGCACCGCACCTACCGCTGAGTACGTCGGGACTGATGTAGGCGGGGCTGCCCCTCTGGTCCTTCAGCAGGTCCCCCTCGCTCACGAGGTGCTTTCCGAGGCAGAAGTTGGTGATGGTTATCCGATGCGTCCTGGGAGTGGGAGGCAGAGAGTGAACACACCTTGGTTCCCATGGCACCACTGCTGCCCGCACCTCCTGTCCAGGGAGCAGAGGACTCATGCCCACATCCGCTCTGCTCCCCGGCCCTCGCTGCCTTCCCGGGGCTGTGTGCAGTGTGCCCGTGGGGCTGACTCTGGCCATTCACTCTGGTTGCCACCTGCTGAGCCGTCCAGGCAGGGATCTGAGTCATTCTGACCTGGTGAGTGTTTAAGGGGGGCTCCCCTGAACCTGCTGCCCTAGCTGAGTCTCAAGGGGGACAGCTTGGGGTTTGCGACAATTTGCAGGGAGTCCCCAAACAACCTCACATCACACCTAGATTGGGAGTGACCAGGATAGTTCAATTCCCGCATTTCCACATGAGGAAAAGCCAGCAGGGCTGTGAAGCCCACCCTTAGGTGTTACTTTGGTCTCCTTTTGCTGAGCCTTCTGGTCACCCCCATGTCATTATCAATCCGCATCATGGCCTCAGTGCCTGGTGATTACTGTTTTCATTCACACGCCGAGGAGGGATTTCAAAGACAATGAAACTAAGGCACAGAGAAGTGCAGGGACTTGTCCAGGGTCACACAGCTAGTGTGGAGAGAATAGGATCCAAACCTGGTTCTGTCTGACTCTAGAGCCTGCCCTGTAGACTAACATACCCAGGTGCCCACTGTGTCCTGGTCAACCCCAGTCCCTTTCTCATTCCCTGCCTTGCCCTTCTGATTCTCCCCTGACCTAGAAAGCCATGGATCCGCCCATTGGAGTTGTGGCTGAGAGCAGCTCTGGCTCTGATCCTTTCTAGGAGCTTCACAGTGTGAGCAAAATGGCCCAGAGAGGACACCTCACATCACACGGGGCGGGGGTTTCGGGGGGCAGTCCCCTTCCAAGAGGCCGGGAAAGGCTTCTTTGCCCCTGCGGGGACGGCCAGTGAGGAAGGGTGCCTCTCTGCCCACAGACGAGCAGGGGCTACTGCCCGGCTCCGATGCCAGCCGCCAGCAGGGAAGCACACGAGGGGCTGCGGGCCGCCTCTCCAGGATGGAGGGGAGTCGGCTCAGTGCAGGTCGTATGGGACTGAGGGCGGAATTCCCCAGAAGCTGCGTCCAAAAGTCTCCCGAGCCTTTCAGCTCTCTGGGGAATTCTGCTGGCACAGGGCTTGGTGCAAAACAAAGGCCAGTCTGTGCTCTGCATTCCGAATGGAAATGTCGACTCTCCTCTCCACACAGGCCCGCCCATCAAATGCCACAGAAGTCGGACTGGTGGCCCTAGGGCAGCTGGAGTCAGAGAGAGGAGGCAAAGGGTCCAGGCAGGGATCACAGCACATCAAGCCGTGGACCGCTCCCCTCTGAACCGCCATGTCACTGTCCTGAACGTGGGACTGCTCAGCCTCTCAAGTGCACGGTCCCCAGAGCAGGCACTGGGTTCCTCTCCGCTCAGATGGCTCGGCAGCTGCAGCGCCTCCTGTGGCGCTCTCTGAGGCGTGGGACCCTGGGGGAGGACAGTGCAGCGGGCAGTTTGGTGGGCTTGGGAGTCAGATCCTGGGTCCATTCCTGGCTTTGCCACTTCCTGGTTGTGTGGCCCTGGGCATGTTATTTAGCCTCTTGCTAAATCTCAATTTCCTCATCTGTGAAACAGGGAGGATATTAGCACCTAACTCCCAGGATGTGTTAGTGTTTAACAAGATAAGAACTTAATCCCAGGGAAAGCACTGGCCCAGGGCCTGGCGAACAGGCACTGATTACTAACTGCGAGCTCAGATGAGCATGTCATCCCTCGACAGTGGGCAGAAGCTGCCAGAGAAGAACGCTGGGAAAGGCACCGTGTCTGAGGGGGCAGGAGAGAGGTGCCACTTTGTGTCCACAGGCCCTGAGCCCACATGCCTCTGCCAGCCCTCTATTAGTATGCGTGGGGCGGGGTGGGAGGGCCGGAGGAAAACGCGCCAGGGACTGCAGAGCGGGCAGCAGGGTCCACTTGGCTCGCACTGCTCTGCCCGCCGAGGACCCTGGAGCCTCTCCCACAGGAAACCACATGGTCAGCGCCAAGACCTCCTGAAACTTGGCGGCGCTCCCTGCCGGGCCACCACCTCCCAAGCTGGCTGGGTGGTGCACAGATCCCTGGGAGCCCAGACCCCCCAGGCTCGTCAGTCCTGGCAGAGGGGCGAGGGAAGTGAGGGATGAAGGGAGCTCTGTGTCAGCAGGATCCCTCTGAGTGAGTCACTCTTTAGCTATGGCCCTTTGGGCTACCACAGTGTTATTCTCTTTTTCTAGGAACTTGGTGTGCAACTTGACTACCCAAAAAGAAGGAGGAAGAGGAACCTACAGCAAACCTCACATAACCCCAAGAGGGGATTTCAGATTTCAGCCCGTGCCTTTCATCCACAGAAGGGCAGACTTGCCACTGTGCTGCCTGGCAGACACTCCTCCCGTTTCCTCCCCCGGGAGCACCCTCTGCAGTGAGGGCCCGGCAAGGCCTCCAGCTTGTGGGCCTGCCTCTCCAGCTGGAGTTAGGGCCTGGCCTGAGGGGCATGGAGGGGTGGAAGCGCCTCCAGGTTGACTTTGAAAGGATGAAAGCAAGGTCTGGAGAGGAGAGGGGCGGACCCTGGACTCTCAGTGTGGGTCTCTCTGCACCTCACCACTCTGCCCTCTTCCAGAACAGCTGGGAGTCAGGGAGAGGGGCCAGGACCTCTGTCTGCACAGCACAGAAGGGATTGTCAGATTAAAGGACTGCAGCCAAGACGAAGGGTCTGAATGAGGTAGTGGTGCTCTGCAATTGGAGGAAACGCGTGCGCACACACACACACACACAGGCATTACTCAAGGGAGGTGTGACCTTCGGACTACCTTCCCTGACGAAGGGGCCTAGAGAACTGAGAGGCGGAAGCAAATCCATCACGGAGACTAAGAGGCTTGAGGCGCCGGGGTGGTCACAGTGCAGGAGCCCTGACAGCGTTCCTGCCACCCTCGGGTGAACCACCAGACCCCTTCCAAGACCAAGGCAATCTCTCCGGCTGCCAGGAGTGTTGGTTTCTGACTACTCATGGCTGTGTCCTCTCTGGGAAGTGCCCTTACCAAAGGAGACTGCCTAAGCTTACGCCCACCCCAGGCATGGGCCACATTCAGTGTCTGTGGGTGCAGGCCCCTGTGCCCCTTGCCTTGATCTGGGATCTCTGAAGGACCACCTGGCTCTCAAGCTTTCCGGGATGAGACCATGTCAGGACTGCACCAGAGTTCAGCGTCTCCTCTGCCTGATCCCGCCCCCTCCTCCCTGAGAACTCTCCCCAGTAAAACTGCACACACATCTGAGTCTGCTTCCTGGGACCTAGACCTATTTTGTTCATCTATAATTCCTTCACCCATGTGTCCTTTTTTTTACAGTCACTTACTGAGCACCCACCAGGCATGGCCAGTGAATGGACCAGGGAGGGTCTCTGCACTCCTTCCCAGAGCTCTGTCTGTGGCTTTGAAGCCTCCTTCCTCATAGTCTATGCAGCAAGAAAATCTAAGCGGGCATCGCACCCCCACCACTGAGATTCCTGGGAGAAGTGGGCACGGGAGTCCTGAGGGCATGAGACAGCTGGTGGCTGCAGCATGTAGCCTGCTCCAAACCCTCGGTTACCTCCTGAAGGATGAAAAGCAGGGCTCACCTTTTATTGAGCACCATGTTCCCGAGCTTCAGGTCTCTGTGCACGATGTTTTTCTGGAAGACAACAAAATGGTTTGCACCATGAAGGTGAGTGAGGGCTGGGGGCAGCCCCAGCCTGTAAGCAGCCCCAGCCTGTAAGCTGTTTGGGAAGGTAGGATAAAACTCTGTGACATGCCTTTTAAGGCTCTGCCTTGATTTGTAAGCCACAGGCAGACCAGGACCATTGTAAGACCTCGTCAGCCATGTGTATAGATGGGGTAATAGGTGAGCCCAGGCAATCGTTGCCCCATCCAGGCAGGTTCCCAGCTTTCTCTCCTCAGGGCAGCAGCCAGTAGGAAAACCCAGTCCTCTCTCCACCTCCATCAAACATCTTATTGAAAAGCAACAACAAAAAGCTAAGCCTCTGCCTGGAGCCGGACTCAGAGATGAACTCTCCTGACTCTGGAGACCAAGTTGCAGGCTTGGCCCACAGAAGCTGTGAGCCTGCAAGAGGCTCTCCTAACCTGGGCATTGGGGTACCTGACACCCCCAATCTTAGGAAAAGCTCAGAGGTAGGCTGTGGCCCCAGTGGATAGCTCACAGTCATCACCAAAGATGGGAGGCTCATGTTTAGTTCCTCACCCGAGAGGGATCCCTGCTCTGGGTTCTGCTCCGTGCCCAATACAGCACCCCAGCCCCGCAAACCCGCGGATGGTGGGCTGAGGCCTGCAGCACTGTGCCTCCCCAGGCATACTTGTCATATGGCCACTTTCCTTCCGCACACTTCCAGCTGTTCCAGCTGCAAAGCACACTGGGTGAGGGTGGGACAGAGCTGCTGCCGTCAGCAGCAGCAGGAAGGGTGGTGTTCTGTGGCTTGTGGGCCCAGGACGCTCTCGGCCAGAGGAGGGGCTGCAGAGGGGCGCAGCCTCACCTGGTGCAGGGCTTCCACCACGCGCACCACGTCGTAGAAGATGACCACGGTCTCCCGCTCGCTGAGCCTCTTCTCCTTGATGACGTAGTGCTGCAGGTTGATCAGGTCGGCGGTCTTGTCGCTGAAGTCGTGCGCACAGAGGCAGTCCAGAACGAGGCAGATGCGCTTCTTCGTCTTCTTAACCATTCGGCTGGATTCTGCGTCCTCAACGATTTCACAGGTTCGGTCCTGAGAGGCAAGGGGCTGATGGAGCTTTGGGACTCTCCTCTGGAGCCCAACACACAGAGCAATGAGGGAGCCTGGGAGAAGCCTGCATGTATGCAGGCGATGAAGGCCTGAGACCTGGGCAGCATGGACCATGGGCAATGCCTGGCTTCCCATGTACCAGGGCCAGGCCGAGCAGGGATGAGGTTACAGTAGCTCAGGTACAAGCTTCATGCTTTGACTCTAATACTAAGGGCTTGGATCAGGGCTGAGCATTTAAAGCCAAAAGGTCCCCTGAGTCCAGAGTCCAGGCTGTAAACCAGGACCCTGGACACCTTCCCCTCTGTGGCACTCCAGGGCTCCCAGCAACAGCCACAGCACACTTCCTCCAACGTCCAAGTGATGGCTGTGAAGTGTTTTGTGTGTTCCAGACAACTGATTCACATGGGCAGCCACGGAACAGTGGGTAAGAGTATGGCTCTGGACCTGGGGCAGTCTCTGGCGCCTCACCTGCAAATGGGAGCCGGTAGCCCCTGCCTTACAGGTCCCTGGAAGTAAGACAACCAGACTGAGTGCTAGACCCCCCTCTCCCCTCTCCCCGCCAGGGCTCAGAAGGTGGGCCTTCCTAACAACACTGTACAACTTGCGATGGCAAGTTCTGGACCCACTCCCTTGCTGAAAAGGCATTTCAAGAAAGAAAAAAACAGGCACAACACGGGACCTTTATCCTATCGGCTTGAGGAGGCCCTCGGTGTCATCCAGCCCCTGAGAGCTCCTGGGACTGAACATCCAGACCTCTTGTTCTCCCTTCCCCAGAGACCCAACAGGGTCTGGCACACAGACGATTCTAGAAACTCTAATCACCCAGGTTCTCTTGTCTACAATGATAGGAGCCAAGGCCAAGCTTTGAAAGCTGGCAGAAATGAAGTACTAAGAAATCACAATCTCCCTCACTTCGACTTCATGCTTAAGGGAAACACTAGTTTGTAGAGTTGCCTAATGATACTGAGTTGCCTGTACTTGTGCACCTCAGAATGCAGACCTTAGTGGGGTGTATGTGTGCGGCTGAGAGGCACTCTAATTTATTTTATTTTGGGAAACCAAGCCGACAACGAGGTTTTATTGCTTGAAATAACAGCCACGATGAGTGCTAACGGGGCAGCTCAGTGCTTTGCACACTCACTCATCTTCCCACCACCGAACAAGGGGGGCATCACTGTCCTTATGCCCAGGTCAAAGATGAGGAATCCGAGACTAGGGGACCTGAGTGACTTGCCTGAGGTCACACAACCTGACCCCAGGACTGCTGGCTCCAAAACTTGTGTGCACCACCTCCTGCCACCATGCTGCCTCTCCTGTACCAGGTCCATCGGAGCAAGAAGGGGCTCTGGCCAGTGCGTCCGGCTAAGGGCACTGCAGAGGCCCTGCTGAGTCCTGAGTAGGCGGCCATCTGAGCTGCTTCTCCACTTCTGAAGACACAATTTCAGTTCCATCCGAGGGCTCTTTTCAGGGTACACATTGCTAATTAGCACCTTTCCTGAGGGACCTGGGACATCGGATCATGAGCTCAGGGACACTTGTTGAACAAACTGGAATGCCTGGGTGGACAGGACTGCTGGCACCAAAACTGAGGTGGCTCAAAGGGCCCGTTCTTCCTCACAGCCCTCTCTTCTACCCTGACTGGGCCAAATCCTGACAAAACAGTAGAAAGAGCCTGTGTCTTTAAATGACTTCCTGCTTTCTTCTTTTCTCAGAAAATCAGCTTTTCAAAGAAAGGCTGTAAGATGTGAACTGTGTGCCTTCCTGCTAGGGTGTGATCATCACAGCAGGACTGTGGGGCTAACCCAGTCTGACCTCTAGCCTAGGGGTCACCAACCAGCGGTGGTGGCCCGTGAGGTCCGAAATGTTGGCGACTGCTGCATTAGCCTGCCCAGCCCAGAAAGTCATGATGCACCCAGCACTCAGGGGTCACAAGGGTGAGCTGCTCCAAGGACAGGTGTGGCCCTAGCAAGTGCCCGCCCAGGGTGGGGGGTGTCAGGGAAAAGAGGGGACAGGCAGCCACTCACCTGGAAGAGCCCATGGTGGTGAACCACGCCATCCTGTGTGTGGAGGAGGGAGAGCAGAGAGTACTCGGTGTGTAACAGCATCTTGCCTTGCCTCTCCTCTTGGCTTTCTATTCCTTGGTCCCCCCTCTCCTCAAGGGTAAGGATCTTTAGGAAGGCACACACACAGAAAAAAGAAAAACAACCCAAAAAACCTTACTTTACAGAGCAGAGTGACCAGAACAGGGAAAGCAGGTCACATTCTCTCATGCAGTACTTGCACACACACCTACGAAGTGCAACAGTTTTTCTTAATGTGATGGCAACGTAATTTATGCACAGATAAAGCTTGTTAAATCAAGAGCTTTTCAGAGAGAGGCTGTGAACCTGATTTCTTCTCAGGAAGAAATGGTGCCACTCTTGCTCACAAGTGGTGCAGGTGCGAAGGGAGAGGAAAGGGAGCGAGGCGGCAGGATGGCCCTAGTCCCCAGTACCCTGCCCCCGGTGCCTCACTTACCTTCAGCTGATAGAAGTCATCTGTGCCATCTTTCCTCGCCAGACACTGCACTATGCTTGGCACCGGTGAGTTGCCCAGACGGGGACCTGTGGCACAGACAGCAGCTGGCTTACTGCTCAAAAGCCTATCTATAGTGGCACCATCACCACATGGTCTTTGGCTAGTTCTGCTCCTCAGTGGGCTCCACTGAACTCACCCACAACAGCTCTCCTGGGGGAGAGTTTTCATGGTCTTCCCTCCAAAAATGGAGGGTATGTGTGCATGTGCCTGAGGTACACTGGGCTTTTATAGTCCCATCCTAAAAAAGAGGGGTTTTCAGCAGTGGGTGCAGGCTGGACTCTCTGAGGAGCATGTTGTCAAGAAGAGCTCCCGGCTGCAACGTGCCCCTTGGAATCAGCAACTCCAGGATGAGAATCCAGGAAACCACAGCTCTGACAGGTTCCCACGGTAGCCTGATATAGCCACCTGGCCCCAGTCCAAGGACTGGCTTTTGGGAACTTGGGATTTCTGGAGAAGTGTACCGCTTGTTGTCCTATGACAGCACCCTGCCTGAGCTTTCTGATAAAGCAGATGATATCACCATGTCACTGCTCTGCTAACAATTCATAACAGTGCTCCACAGCTGGTACTATGCAATCTTTTGTCCAAACTCCTTTTTGGACATCCAAGGTCTTGCATGATTTGGTTTCTGCCCATCTTTCTAATTGGTTGTATTTCTCTACTCCACTCTAGCTACCCTGGCTTCTTAATTCCTAAGACAGTAAGCCCTTTCCTGCCTCTGGGCTTTTGCATTTGCTGTTCCTTCTGTTCAGAATGCTCTACCCCTGCTTTTCAGACGGTTGGCTCCTCCTTCTCCTCAGGTGTCAGCTCAATGTCATCTCCTCACACAGAACCTTCCTGGTCTATACTATCTCCCGCCCTTCTTGCTCTCACATCACCGTGTTTACTTCCCTAAAGGCGCCTGCCGGGCCTCCCAGTGATGACCTTGTGTTGTTTACTGTTTCTTTTTGCAACTAGAGTGCTAAGTTCTGTGAGGGCAGGGACTGGTCTGTCTCATTCACTGCTGCACCCCTAGCAAACTGCACAGGCCTCGCCCAGAGGGAGCACCACTGACTCACTGAATGCCTGCAGCTGGAACTCTTCTGGATCCTAAGCCCAGATGCTGTTCCCCCAGCAAAACTCCCACCCAGCCTCTGGCTGCTAGGGAGTCAGGGTCCCCAGAGCCCACCCCACCTGCAATCCTGAGCATGAACAACCGGGACTTGTTGGACCTCTAACATCACACAGAAGGCCCAGCTGCTCCTCTGGACCACTGGGAATACCCAATTCTACAGGATTTCTGTGCCAGCTTTACAATAAGTTTTAGGGACTATATTGAACACTTTGTGAAATTAATCGTGCTCTCCAAGAGTGGTCCACAAAGTGCCTGATGGCCCTTGGGATTCGATGCAGCTGTGTGTTTCCCGTGGGTGACATCGTAGGGGAACATATAGTCTAGCTCTCAGCTAAGACTGATCCAAGGCTGGTGCCTCTACAACAAAGGTGACAATTCTTGGTACAGGGTGACCTAAAGCTCTGGATCTTCCAGCGGCATAAACAGACTCTAGTTAAGGCGGTGAGGCTGGGCCAGACCCAGGGTTGGTCAGGATCTCACACTGTGGTGGGTGTGTCATTTCACTCTGCATGTCCCGGGTCAGACTGTGCCTGCCAGTGTGCCCTGCCCCTGCCCCAGCACCCGCCCACCCAGAGGGGAGACGCTTACCTAGGATGAACGGTCCAGCTCTCTTCGCGTTATTTCCAGAAATCCCACTTCCTAGAGCCTTCGCCCTGGCCGACGTTTCCCCAGCCCCTCTGTCGGATGCTCTCCGCTTCATCCTCAGCTCTAGACAAGACAGAAAGAGCCCCTCTCACTGAGCAAGCCAGGGCTTTTGCTTATGCTAACCCAGCCTCCAAGTCTCTGACTCGGGGATGCGTCACACAGCTGCTGCTGCTGCTGCTGCTGCTGCTGTCGTTGCCACCTCCTCCCCTTCCCAGAGGAGAACTGAAGGTTCCCGGTGACAAAGAGCCAGGGCTCCTTTACTTGGGATTAATTAGGGGCTTGAGGGGGTGTACTGGCTACAGAGGTGGGCAGCCAGCTTGCCTGAAAGAGGCTGGTAAAATGCAGAGAACACCGGGCTTTGTGCAGATGCAAATTGGGTTCCCCAAGAGATCACCACAGAGAGGGAGCTGGCTGGGAATTTACTATTCCCAAAGTAAGGCCTTCCCCCAATTTCCTATAGCCAGTGGCTTGACGTGCTGATTCCTGGGTCCAACTCCACACCCAATGTTATGACCTCTGTAGTGTGGTTGGGTGTGGGCCCCAGGAAATGGTCAACATGAGGCCCAGGGGTTCTTATACCCAGAAAGTATACAGGTTACTACTGAGAATCTCCTCTCTCCAACTCCCCTTGACCCTTAAGTCCTCTCAGATGGAAGAACATCCCAAAGTTGTCAATGGGGGCAAAGGGGGAATTTCAGAAAGCAAAGGAGAGGGAGAGAGAAATAAAATCAATTATGAGAGAGAACCTCATTGATTGATTGGCTGCCTCCTGCATGCCCCACTGGGGATTGATCCCACAACCTGGTCATGTGCCCTGACTGGGAATCAAACCGTGACCTCCTGGTTCATAGGCTGATGCTCATTGAGCCTCATTGGGCGGGCTAGAATGGATTTTAAAAAAGGAGTCACTCCTTCTAGCTCTCTATAGTTTACACCTTGGGAAGGCAGCTGGGGCTTCCCAAGGGTGGGGTGAGGAAACAGATGCACACAAATTAAGTTCCACAGAGCGGGTGAGGGCCACAGGGATGCCCGGGGAGGCTGGCTGCCCAATCCCGAGAGAGGCTCTGGCCCGGGGTAGCTGAGGGGGCTCAGGGGAAACTTCTCTGAGGAGGTGGTACTGGAATGGGCCAGGCAGAGGAACCTGGGTGAGCAAACGTACGAAGGTAAGAAATGGCACATAAGCAGCCAACTCCAGGCAGTTTGTGTCACTGGAGTGCACAGTGTGCAGCAGGGAGTGGGGAGAGGTGACCAGAGGGACCAGGACCACATCTAGGGGACCTGATGGCCATGTCAAGAGTGAAAACTTTGGTTTAACTGAGGTTTAACACTCAGCCCTAAGCTTCTGTAATTTTTTCTTCATACCAAAGTAATTGGCATTTCCTGCAGAACACTAGAAAGTACAGATACACAAAAATAAGAAAGTAAGATACCCATGACCTCACCACCCAGATGAAATCACTGTTAACAGCCAAGCAGACTTTCCTGGGTGTGTTTGTAAGGTGTGTGCTTACAGTGTTCATTATAAAAGTTTGGACCATTCTGCCGTACTATTTGTAAGCTTTGTTTCTCCTACTAAAAATACATTACAAGGGTGAATTTTATGGTATGTAAACTCACTAAAGCTGTAAACAAACTAAAATAAAACACCATATTAACATCCCTGCATGACAATATTCTTCTGTGGCATCACTGGAAATAGCTGCACAGTCTCCATGGTAAGAATATATCATGATTTATTGGACCACGCCCCTATTCATGGACATCTACTCTTTCCATTTTTAAATATTTTTGTTAATAGCCATAAACCTACATCTTGGCATACTTGTCTCTCCCCCTCAAGATAAACTCTAAGAAGTAGAAATGCAGGGTCAAAAGGGGAGCATGTTTTAAAGGTGTTTCACATACACTGCCAGGCTGCTCTCAGGGAGGCTGAGCCAATTTATATCCCATCAGCGGTGTGCGTGAGGAAGGCCCAGGAGCGGCCCAGGACTATGTCCTTATTTTATTTTATTTTTAAAAATATTTTATTGATTTTTTACAGAGAGGAAGAGAGAGGGATAGAGAGTTAGAAACATGTATGAGAGAGAATCATCGATCAGCTGCTCCCTGCACACCCCCTATGGGTACATGCCCTTGGCCGGAATCGAACCTGGGAACCTTAAGTCTGCAGGCCAACGCTCTATCCACTGAGACAAACCGGTTTTGGCTGTGCTTATTTTAAAGACTGCCAATTTGATGGGCAATAAAAAGTATATCATTGTTTAAATTAATAATTCCTTAGTTATTCATGAGGTTGAACTTATTTCACATGCTTACTGGTTGTATGTATTTTTTTTTTTTATGAGTTTCCAGTTCATATTTTTCTACTTTTTTTTATTGCTGTGTATTAATTACACTGGTTTTTAGAAACTATTCATTAAGACTATAACTGGGAACAACAGGGGAGAGGTCAATGGGGGGGGAAAGACATATGTAATAAATACTTTAAACAATAAAGAATTTTTAAAAAGTATATAACTGGCACAGGATGTCGTTCTTCTTACTCTTTTAACTTTTTAAAATGAAAAAAAGGTTAAATGTTTATGTGATTATAAACAGTTCTCTTTTCCTTTAGCTTGTTTTTCCTGTTATTCCTAGAAGACTGTCTCTACTGTGAGAACAGGTGAGGATCCTCTAGTCAGGTTACTTTAACTCTTTACACTGGTCATTCTGGTCCTTCTAAACCCCAGGAGACTGACTGCAGCAGTGAACTGGAAGTAGGAGAGATGGCCTAATGTACTTCTAGCCCCTCTCAGGTTGGCTTCCCGTCAAGCCCGTTTGTTTCAGAGCTGTGTCACTGAGGAGCAGTCCCAGGGTTTCATTCTGAGAAGCTGGGACCATGTAACTCAGTAGGCCCTGACAGTCCACAGATGGAGAAGCCTTGACTTCTGCCAAAGCTCATGCTGGAAACAGATTCAAAATCATTCACACAAAAGCAGGGAAAAATAAAACAGCTTCTAGACTTCATAGCTGGGCACATGTGTCTAGAACAGTGATCCTGTTCTTTGCCTGGCTAACTTCTATGCATCCTTCTCAATTTAAGTGTCACTTCCTCAGAGAAGCCTTCCTGGTCAGTCCCACCACTAGTGGGGCCCAGTTAGTCTCACTTGGCAGCCTGTAGCACTTTCCAAATATATACATATTTTATATATTTATTTATGTGTTTATATGCTTAATGTCTTACTCCCACCACTAGTCAAAAAATTCCATAAGAAAAAAACACACCCTTAGACCCCAAGTGCCTGGCCCTGCAGATACTCCACGACAGCTGGATGCCTTCCCTCCAGGAGAGGGTGGTCCTCACAGGTCAGCAGCCCTGAGCTGGAGCTGCCCCTGTCCTGGTAGATAAGCTGGTTTCATGCCATTGTGGCCTTGTCCCCTTTCTAACAGACCACTAAGCCTCCCCTTTCCCTGGTTCCCTGGAGAGCACCTCAGAGCCCTCATCATATCTGTACAGACGCTGCTGAGGCGCCTACGCACAGGCATGGTCTAGACTAGACAACAGTTTGCTGCGAGCAGCTGCAGCACAGACAATGAGTGGGCTCAGCCTGACCCCACCCACCCCACTCAAGATTCAACTCAAGCAAATGGCATGGGAACTGCTCCAAAATGTAGGCAGACAGAAGGTTGGGAGCAGACGGGCAGAGAGAGGAAAAAGATGCTGCTGGCAGGGGAGGGGTAGCAAGGCTGCTTCCCTTCCTGAGCATCCCTTCTTGCCACGCAGAGCTGGCGGATGCAAAGGAAGCAGCGTGAGGAGGGGCGCCTGGAAAAGTGGAAGCTGCTGCAGGCTCACTAGAGGTGAGCAAAGACTGAGGACAGACCCTCGTGTCCCCCTCCCCCCCAACAAATGCACAGGGAGGATGTGCCCCACTTTCAAATCCTCCTGATGCGTCCCCCTTCAGAGGCATACCTGCAAATGGTACCAGTGCTCCCTGGGGGTATTCTGGCTTCACAGCAAGATCTGCAATGTGGAAGCTCTGGCTACTCTGGCTACTCTGGTGAGGTAAAGAGCCCTGGCCCAGCCTGGCTAAGGGGTATCCGTTTGCTGGGTGCACTGCTCAATTCCCCAGGAACTTAGCAATCTTGGCTTGGAAGTCTCTGGAGCTTTAAATCTGTCAACTATTTTTGTGGTATCCTCCCACTTCATGGCTGGTTCCCTTAGAACCTGGACTCAACAGGAAGCTCAAGGAGACAGCCATGGGGCTGAGGGGTGGAGGCTGGGAAGGAGGCCCTGAAAGAGAACCCAGTGTTGCAGCCCTGCCCCCTGCAGGCTGTGCTCCTCAATCTGGACAGTGGGAGCTCAGGGTGGGGGACAGGGGGGTAGGGTGGGAGATAAGGGGGCGGGCTGGGGGGGATTGTTTGCTTGGCTCAGCCTAGGGAGCAAATTGTGAGCCTTAGAATAAGGGCCAACTCTGTGACAGCCATCATGGCATGCCCAGAAGAGGGGAGGCCTGCCCTACCCTGTCAGTTTGGGGTTAAGGTCATGTCACCCCAAAGCTGCTCCCATGTGCAGACAGTTCTGCACTCAACCTCATCCTAGGCTTCTTGCTCTGGCTTCCTGGAGACATGTGTGACCATGTAAACCAAACTGCAAAGGCGGAGTGCTCAGGCAGTCCCTGTGACCTCGGCCCAGGGCGGCACTTGCTGTGTGTGCATGTGCGACAACAGCTGGTATCCACAGTTTGTCAGCAGCCTCTTTCTGTGCTCCTGCTAGGAGCCAAAGGACTGTGCCTACACTGCAGGATCAGGCTGAGCCAAAGTAATCAATGTTCAAGCCATTCCTATCAGCAGCCCCTATCCCTACTCCCGTGTTTCCTGGGTCAGTCAAAATAAAACAACAAACGAACAAAAAGCTCCTGAGCTGTACAGGCTTCTGTCCTTTGGACTGTATCTGGGGCAGGGCCTGTTGAAGCAGGGTCCATACTTCTGTCCAGCCCACGTGGCATGTGGAAATGCACACCGAACCCCCACCCATCCCTAGCCTCAATCCTACTTGCCACGGGTAAAGGGGCTGCGTGTCCAAACCCACAGCAGCTCCCAGGAGGAGGCCAGAAAGAGTCTCTGCTCACAGGACACCAGGGCAGCAGAACAAAGTGGTTAGAGCAACATGTGCTGGTCTTTTACTTCTCAAACAAAGAGAAACTCGTATAGCACATGGGGGTGAAAGGACTGGGGGCTCCAGCGGTCCCGTGGGTGGCCCTATCCTATGCCTCAGGCTGAAGGGATCACCATCTTGACATACATAAGCCAATTGGATGGGAACCTCTGAGTCAGAGCAAGGGTTGGATGAGCCAAAACCTGGGTTCAAAGCCTAGCACCATTACTTAGTAGTGATGAGATCTTGGACAAATTATTTGTTCTGTATCTGCAAAATGGTGTGCAATATCTACCTTCCAAGGTTGGTCTAAGGATGGAGAGAGATAGTTCACACAACTGGCTCAGCAGAGTACCTACTAGCACATTGTAAGCATTTGACGACTTGTGCTGTTTGCTTAAAACACAGTAGCTTTGAATTTCTCCTGCCCAAAGAGAAGGAGATAGTTAAGTACTGAGTTAGGAAGGTGGGGAGCAGACGGAAGGTAACCAGATTAAAGGCTGAAAAGACCTTAAACCTGCTGTCTGCTGGCCTGAGACTACAGGCTGGGGGTCTGATGGCCAGCCGGAGTGACATGCTCAACTCAGCGTTGGGGAGAGAGGCCTGGGCATGAACTGCACTGCAGAAGACTAGAGCGCTTTGGGCAGGGCCGGTGCATTCTGTAGCAGAGGCAGAATACAGTTGCCTTGTGGGCCAAGGGGAGTGCCTACTCTTTTGGGCAGAGGCATACCTCATTGCATCATCTTGTTTTGTTCATTGGTCTATGGGGAAGCAAAGGCTGGAGCACCAGCTAGCAATGACCAACTTGGGCACAGTAAGGGACCCCAGGAGGATGAGGCCATCTCAAATGGGTCCTTCATTATGATCCGGTGATGGAATTAAGACCTAATGCCTCTAGTCCAAGATCTCCTGGAGCAGGACTGGGGGTGGGGGGATGGGGTGGGTCAGAGCACATATACTGGGCCATAAAACTTATACTACCTAAGGACATAACTTTTGTCATTTTCTGCACTTGTCAAAATGACTGAATGGTACAATTAAAAGGTCTGTGGAAGTCACTGTGTGTAAATAAATTAATAAAAAAGCAAGCTGCAACCCTAACCAAATGGTCAAAGTTAATACCACCAATAGCATAAACCACATCTGATCATGAGTTAAACCCAAATTGAAGAACATTGAACAACAGGCCTATATGCTTCAAAAACATCAATGTTGGGTAGGTTTTTAAAAGGCGGAAGAACAATTTGAGATTAAAGGAGACTAAAGACATATGACAAGTCAATGTGATGGGTCATCCTGGGGTGCGAGTGGGGCAGAGGGAATTATAAAGAATATGGTTCAGTAGCTCAAGTTTGTGGGTTTGATCCCGGATCAGGACACATATAAGAATCAACCAATGAATGCATAAATAAGTAGAACAACAAATTGACATTTCTCTTTCTCTCTCAAATTTTTAAAAATAAAAATAAAAAGAATATGACAGGGCAACTGGAGAAATCTGAATATGAACTGTGTATTAGATAACAGTATGTGTCAATGTTAAATTTCCTGAATTTGAAAATTGTACTGTGGAATAGCACAGGAGATTGTCTTTGTTTTTTAGGCAACAGATGCTAGTGTATGGGGGTGAAGGGTCATGATGTAATTTACTTTCATTTCAGGTGCCTGGAGACAGAGGAGAAAGTGCAACCTGCTGAAAAAGCTCCTAGACCCTGGAGGAATATGCTGTCCAGATTCACAGGTTCAAAGGGACTTCTGGTGGGTACACAGCCCACAGTGGCAGAACTTAGAATCTCATACTTGTTGGGCATAGCCAGCCGGGCATGAACAGAAGTTCTGTCTTGACTGTTCCCCTTCCTTCCCCACCCCAAACACTGTGCTAAAGGAACAGGGGTGGGGGTGGCAGATGCCTTTGGCAATCTCCAGGTCTGCCACCTGGTGGCGTCTTTCTGCAGCTCATCTTCAAAGGGTTTCTCCTGGCACCAGGATGGGGCCCTGCTCTCCAGGATGCTGATCAGGAAAGATGCAGGAATGACTTCATTAGAAGGCCCCACCTCAGCTGCCTATGTAATTGGGGTTGGACAGATTCCAGCAGGCTGCACTTGGTCCCCTGCTTGGGAACCTGGGGCTGCATTATCTGTCTGCCTCTGCTGTGAGGGTCTTCCAATACTCCCATGATCTCCAGGAAGAAAGAAATTCCTCAGTGAGCCTGGCTAGACCCAGGCTACCTCTCGAGCGTCACTGCCCTTATATGCCTCATACACCAAGCTGCACCAAAGGACACAATTCCTTGAGTGTACAATGAACAGGCTTGTCTGCCCTATTCTTTCTGTCTGATTTGTCTTTCTTCCCTAGTCCTCACTTGTCACCTTTTGCACCAAGTCCTCAATTCCTCCAGTTCCCAGTCCCCTCCTGCTGTGCTGTACCATCGGCTTACCTTCCTGACTGCCCCTACCCCAGGTGTGTGCAACCCTTTGGGAGCAACCCCAATTCATCTCTGCTTCTCTGCACCTCGCCCAGTGCCTGGAAAACTGCTGGGTGAGAAAACGAAGGCTGCAGAACTGTTTGTATACCCAGAAGGCACTAAAGCCCAAATGGGGAGGGGACAGAGCTTGAGATCACCCAACTAGAAGCCAGGGGTTGGAGTGGAACCCATAAGAAAGCATGGGTGGTCCACCAGCTCATGGCAGGAGACAGAATCCAGGATCAGAGAGATGGGGGTTGAGGGGATGACACAGTGGTAGGCAACTGGGCTGTAGTGGTGCTGGGAAGAGTCTGTCCAGGAAAAGTCTCATGTCAGAAATGTCTGGGTGCCTGAGGCAAGGCTTTCTAGGCTGGCCGATGGCCAGAGGCTGTGCTTAGACACTGCTTGCTGCTGGAGAGCAGTCTCCACTGAGGAATAAAGCCCGTTCACAGCATGCCTGCAGTTGGGCCCACCCCCTCACAGGCAGAAGGACAGACCAGCCCCCTTTTTGCTAAATTCAGCTAAAAGATCTGCTTTCCCACAGTAAGAAGCGGAGCGGGAGAGTGACAGCCTGGCCTGCCCCTTCCACCAGTGACAGTCCTGGCCACTCCAGGTTTGCAGTGTGAAGGCTCTTCTGCTGGTCAGAAAAATTCCTGCCACTCTTACTCCCCCCAGAAAAGAGAACTTCGGCCCAGCTCTGTGTTTAGCTGACTGTACCTGCGATGAATGATGAGACTTGAGGTGAGCAGGGTGAAACCGGAATACACGATCTGACTGAGATGATCTGTGGATCCATGCTTTATAGACCAGACTCCTCCAGACGAGAGGGAAGAGTTCCCTCTAAAACTTCCTATGCCCCTTTCTGGATGGTGAATTTTGGGCTCAACCTACTGGGAAGCCCCACCTGACATGAACTAACTTTGTACAAGGCTTTAAAAGCTTACCAAGCACTTTCAGATACACCACTGTAACTGACTGGCCCCCACCCCAGAATACATGTTCAAGAAAAAGAAAATGAAGCTCAGGAATGCTGGGATAGTCTCCTGGCTAGTTGTTGAAAGAGTTCACCTATGTGAACACAGGTTTTCCAATTCTGAATCCCACATATTTCTATGTGACCACACTGCTTCCTTAGCTGCTTTCTCCACCTGATGTCTGCTGTGGTTCTAGCATGCCAACCAGAGAGGACAGCACCCTCCGGACTTCCTTATAAGCTATTATTCTCCTGGAATCAGGGAGCTGTCAAGCCAGAAAGCTGCAAATGAGCAGGGAGAGGGGGGGTCATGCTTGTCCCTGGAGGAGGTGCATTTCAGGGCGCCCATGGAGAAAAGGGCTGGGTCCAAGGCAGGGTTACTGACACATCCTCCCAGCAGCCAACAGGGCAGTGTCCTACAACACTCCCTGACTCACACACTCGGGGAGTCACCCCCACCGCACCTCAATATTCACGCATAGGTGCTTCTACCAGCGCCACCACCTTCCCTACAGGCCTGTTCTCCGTCGACAAAGCCAACCCAGAGAACCAAGAGGAATCCACAGAACCCAGTGTTTCAGATGATGGACCAGTTACTCACATGCCAGAAGGAAAGCAAGGTGGATTTGGGGGTCAGGTAGGCCCGGTTTCAAATTTCAGTTTGCCTCATTCACTTGCTTTGTGACCCTGAAATAGTCACCAGTCCTCTATGAGAGGCACCTCCACTCCGTGGGCCTCAGTTTCATCTCTAAAGTGGGATGACTGAAGGCTCAGACAGGATGTTGTGGTTGGTGGTCTCGGGGGCTATGCTGGATGAAAGGTGAGCATTCCCTGTTCCATGCGGAGTAACCTTCCTGGTGACAAGTCTCTCTAAGCAAATACCTTTTAAACTGTCATTTAATGGGCGTCTACTGCTTGCCAAGAACTGTCCTTAGTGTTCCCGAGATTTTCTTCAATTCTCACAACTTTATGAGGGAAAGATTCCCCCCTTTTACTGCTGACGAGTCAAAGCCCAGAGATCCTGGCCCAGCTCACCTGCTGTCTGTCTTCTACTCTGCTAGCTGCCTGGAAGGGGTCTCTGAATGAGGGCTTTTTCTCTGAGTCTGAGTGACAGCCGTCTCTGAAGCAGGCATGAACCTTTTCCCAACAGCCTGAAGGCTATATGCCATCTCTCTCGGAAGCCCCTGGAAGCCATTTGCTTCTGCGCTCAGGATGGATGCTGGGGGTGGGGAGGCGGATTAGTAGGCCCCAGGCTACAGCCAGGACTCCCTGATGACAAAGATTCACGCCTGTGCTGTCATCTTCACTGTTCCAAAATGGGGTGATGATTTTGTTCCTTTTTAAAATGCGGGATATGTATAGCTCCAATTTGTCAAGAATATATAACATCACATCATGCTTCACTGCCTGAGGGTATGGAGTGCACTGCTGCGTTCAACTAGAGTTCCCTCTTGTCGCTCAGGGTGAACCCCACCCCCTGAAGCCCTGCTCTCAGCCTGGGGGTGAGTACCTGCAGCAGCCAGAGAGGAAATGACTCAGCCAGTGGAAGTGGGAGGGGCAGTCAGAAAGAGGGCTCTGTGCCCAGCTCTCCCCCTCAGTCCTCGGTCACTGCCTTTCCTCACAGGACTACAGCATGCTGAGTTCAGCAGTCCCGGGGGCCTGCAGGGCCTGAAGACCCCGCCGCTCACAGGAAGCCCGATGTCTGCTGCTCGCGGTCCAGCTCTAGTCTCCTCCAGGAGGCAAGGTTACACACACAAGGAGACGTCGTAATCAGTGATGTCCATCTTTACCCCACTGCCCTGAGAAGTCCTCACTGGGCTCCTCTGTGAGTTCCATGAAGGCTGGGGGGACAGACTGGAGGCTAAAGGCCCCTGCCCAGGAGAACATGTCTCAGTGATTCTGGGAGAAAAGGCTCCAGGGTAGTGCACACAGAGCTGGACCCGTAGACCCCTCTGGGGAAAAGATAAACAGTGCAAGAAACTAGTTCCTGCAGATGGGTCACAGGACCTCACCAGCAGCCACTCAAAAAGCCACCAGAGCAGAATCCAGGGCAGCATCACCAGCTCACCCCTCCCAGGGGCCTCCGGAAGCAGCTGATGTGACAACAAATAACCCGTCACCATGAGTGGGTGTCAGAAGAGGAAGGAACAGACTTAATAGCTCTTTCTGAGTTGTGCTGCCCTGGTATCTCCCCCGCCAGCGAAGCAGCCTGGGCAAACAGCGAAGAGCACTTTCTTGGGAAACATTCCTGGCGGCCTCTTGGCTCTGAGGGGAGGGGGGCTTCTGCCATGAGCAGTGATGGCAGACTGAGTCACTTAGAGCCCTCACCAGCATGCCAGCCTCCCTTCAACTAGGGGACCCTGGCATGAACAGATGACAGGGAGGTCCCTCAACTCAAACCATCACGTATTACTTTGGGCAGTGACTCAGCCCAGCCCAGCCTGCCTCAGGGTCCCATGTGGACTTCAGGTTCTTGCCACTCACAATGGTCCCAATCAGGCAGGAGAATGTAGCAAGCGACTAAAGGAGGGCTGGCTGAGTCTGAGGGCCACCTTTGTGTCCACTGTGTGACCTGGACAAGTGTTTCTCTGCTCCTGTTTCCCACCTAGAGAGAGAGACAGTGATGCTTCCCACAGGTTCCCTGAGGACTGCTGGGAGCCAGAGTGTGGGAGGCACTTGAAAAATGCTAAGTTTCCTTCTACCCCAGATTTCCAGAGAGACTTACGGGAGAGCCCAGGCCTGGCCTAGGTGCAATGATTCTCTCTTTTCTACTGCTTTTAATAGCAGAAATCACTACAATCATCCGGTGAGAAAGGCAATTAGGACTGGGGCCAGCAAGCTGCCTTTTCTTAACTGCCTCTATCAAAAATTAAATTCGATTAAACTCCACAATTTTGACAATGAACAATATAGTTCACTTTCTGTGGTTTTACTGAATGATGCTAGCGGTGGCTGCTCAGAGGGTAAGATTACAGAGGCAGACAGCAGGCCTGCAGAATGCCCCTCAGTGGGCCGTTCAGAGGGGTGGGCCGACACGAGGGCCTCACCTGCTCTGCCCCTGGGAGGCCAGCCATGGCCAATCCCAGGGGCCAGAAGCCTCCATGGACAGACACTGGCAAGCAAATGCTCCTTGAATGTCTGTTTGCCTGTGTCTCTGGAGAGGGTGACACAGGCAAGGCCTGGGGCCTTGTCCACCTGAGAGTCCTGCACAGGCCCAATAGGTGTGCAGAAGACATGCATGAAATAACAGCCAACAAAGTAAAAGAAAATACACACGCCTGGGGCCCAGCACTGCTAATTCTAGGGATTATCCTACAAATATACTCACACCAATTCACAAAGATTAATTGCTCCAGGGTCTTCATGTGTGGCAGTAAGAAAAAAAAATCACAAACGCACACACACACACACACACACACACACACACACACACACCTTCAGACAGGTCCATCAAGAAGGGACTGGTTCACTACATCGTGTTCCATGCAGACAATGGAATACTATGTAGTCTTTAAGACTAAAGCCACACCTACTGATAAAGATGTCTATGACACACCACATTTTTAAAAAGCAAAATACTGAACTATTTGTATAGCACAATCCCATTTGATTAAAATATTATATACACACCTCTGAATATACATAGGAAATTTCTAGAAGAAACTTAACAATGGATACTTCCATGCAGTACTAGGGGCTTAAGGAGAGGAGAGAGAGTGCTGTTGTATATGCTTCCATAACTATTTTACCATAGACTACTATAATAGTAATGGAATAGCAGTAATGGAATCAGGGGAGGCAGGGCCTCCGAGAAGCACACAGAGGGAGTATGGCAGGAGAACACGAGTGTGAGTGTAAGTGCCCTAAATGTACAGGTCTGTGTGCTGACCCCAGGCTACATCAGGAGAGTGCGGGTGGGAGGGACAAAATCACCACTGCTGGTACACTGAAGCGCTCCCAGGTAACTTGCAAACATAAGGAACTTCCTGCTTGCCACCTGGTATCCAAAAGGGCTGGGAGGCCCACCAAACGGTTTTGGAAGCCGGCTTATGACACGGCTTTTGGGACAGTTACACACCTGCCAGCGAAGAGCTCATCTGGGCCTCTCACTAGAGCTAATCCCTGGGTGCTAACTGCAGGCCAGACACTAGCTGAGCCTGCTATAGACGGTAACACTCGTGTCTAATCCTCATTACTACCTTAGCAGCAAAAAGCATTATGTCCATTTTACAGAGGAGGAAACTGGGGCTGGAGATAGGAAATGACTTGTTCAAGGTCACTCGTCTAGCAATAGGCAGAACTGCTGGTTGACATGGTTGAAAGTCTCCTAACCCACTAGTCAAAGGGCTGGGCAGAGGTGTGTGTGTGTGTGTGTGGGGGGGGGTAAGGGGGGTCTGTCTCCAGACAATGGCAGTTTCCATTTTCTGACAAAGAAGGGATTCCTTCAGCTTTGTCAAGGTCCCTTCCAGCTCTGCGGCTCTATGAGTCCAGGTTCCATGTGGCTGCCTCCCTGGGGCCAGAGTCTGGCTAGGATGGAGGAATGGGGTGGCGTGAGTTCCAGAGTCACACAAGTGTGGGCTGGCTCTTCTTTGCTGGCTGTGTAACAGTGTACAGGTTACTTAACCCCTGTGAGCCTGGGGGTTGTCCTCTGTAAGAGAAACAACTCCTTCTTCCTTAAATGTGAGAAGAGTTCAATATGTACTGCAGAGTACTTAGCCAAGGACTGGAAGATGGTGAGGACCCTTTCTTTTTGGCTGTTTTCCTTTGTTCCTTCAGGAGAGACCACCTTGAGAGCAGAGTCAGAACAGAACACACCCTGTGGAACTTGCCCCAAACACAGTAATGCCAGGAGCTCATTATCAATTGCAAAATGGAGTAGGACTCTTGCCCCCAGAGTTGGCAGATGCCAGCAGTGGGGCTCCAAAAGCCCCACAGAATGTTGGGTGACAGCACTCCAAAGGTCTCCCAAGGGAATGAACCCGAACGAGCCTCTTCCCAAAGAACCTGCTGTTCCCTGATCACACTTCAGACCAGCTCTGCCCTGAACTCAAAGACAAATGACGGGCACACCAGTCCTGTTCTTGACACTTGCCATGGCAATGTCCAGGCCACTGTCTCTTCCACCTGGTACCTGGGGTCAGGGGCTCCCTAAAGGCTAGAGATCCTCTATCTCTTTTGCCAAGAAGACAGCAGTGTATCAACATATTTAGCGGGGACAGCTTCAAAAACAGAGACCTCAGTTTTGCTACCTCTATGCTTTCCGTCAATTAGAGTTTCTTTGAATCATCAGGCCTGTATACTGCTATATTAGGGAGTCTAGACTCAAACCCAGGACAGACAGTCATTAGCCAAAAGAGAATGGCTATTACTGGGCTATAGCCCTCTTAGGAAGGAGGTCTTCAACCCCGAAAGTTTACTTTTGCTTGCTGGTGGGAAAGTAGGCTGCTTCAGCTTATTAAAAGGGGCCCAGGGAGCATTTTCTCAACCCACTGAGATTTTGGTTCCTGGCAATTGTTGTTATTTTGGCTCAAATAAATTCTTAAAAATCCTTAAAAATGGGAGGGAGGGTGACTAGAAATTCTATTAATAGCCTATATATATAAAAGACTAAGTGACCAGCAGACTCTGACAGTTCAATAGCTGTGACGCACACTGACCACCAGGGGGAAGACGCTCAACGCAGGGGGGGAAACGACAGGCATGGAAACATAGAGCAGACTGATGAATTTCAGAGGGAAAGGGGCAGGGGGGAGGGTGGGAAGAGATTAACCAAAGATCTTATATGCATACTAGAGATTCGGTGCACGAATTTGTGCACCAGTGAGGTCCCTTGGTCTGGCCTGTGGGGATCGGGCCCAAACTGGCTCTCCGACATCCCCTGAGGGGTCCCGGACTGTGAGACCTCTTTGAAGTAGCAACTCCTCTTCTAGAATTTATCTTGCCGATATCTAAGCTGGGCAAGATCACATGTATACAGATAGTTACTTGAGCTTTGTTTGGAAAGCAAAAAGACAGAAAATAACCTAAGTACATTAGCAGAGAGCCTGTTGAATAAATGACACAGATGAAGACACAATGTAGCCTCAAATGATCCAGACGTGCATGTACCAAAGTGGAACCATCTCTAACATAGTAAGCAAATCAAAGCAAGCAATAGCATCCTTTCTCCTTTTGGGGATATTGATTACAGATCCCAGAGGATATGCAATGCTGCTGTGGGCCAGGTGACCTTCAAAGCTACAGTCTCACCTGAGCAGGTGGAGGAGAAAGATATGCTCCTATTCAGGCCACTTTCCTTTGCATGCCACAAATGCAAGAAGAAATAATGTGGAGAGCGCCACAATTCCAAAGGGCCTATGTGAAGCCTTGCAGACCAGCACATCCTTCTCCAGAGCCCAATCCCATTCATGTCTAGCTCTGCACTCCCCTTGAGCTCAGGGGGATAAGGGCACTTCCTTTATGGTTGAGTGAGTCCCAGGGAGCCTCTGGCTGACACCTCTCCTTCCAGAGAGGAGGGACTGAGTCTGCTGACCCAGCCTCTGGAGCAAATGCAATCTCAGGGTCTCTTTCTGGATAAGATCTCCAGGGAGCCAGGAAAGCCATCCCTCCTGGGGGTAGCTGCTGTGCAAGGCCTCATCAGTCTGTCCTTTGCTGAATTGTCTGGATGGCGTCAGACTGAAGGGCCATTTGAAGGCAGAAGAAATTATGGGAGCTTTTTAGACTCAGCCACTTGAGTTTCTGAAACAGCCACTTGAGTTCACCTCCCCAGGCAAATCGGCATGGAGGGAAGGTGAAAGAAGGGAAGCTGCCTTCTCTCAGGCACTGACTCACGCCAAACCAGAGGGAAGCCTGGCCCAAAGCCAGGCAGGGTGCCACAGGCTTCACAACTGATCCTGTCCCGTGAGAGTGTGCGCAGGGCTTGCTAAACAGAGCTGGCAGATTTCACTGGTCATTGTCTTCTCCCAGCCATCCTATCTCTACAGTATTATTCACTCTGTCACCCAAGCCAGGAACCTCTGAGTCACCTGCCTCCATTGCTCCTCCCTTAATCATCACTTACAAATACTCCCAGAATCTAGTTGACTTCCCCCCAAATAGCCCTCTTTGTCCTTCCTCTCCATCCCAACTGCCTCTGCTCTGATCCAGCCCCGCACTGATCCTTGCTTTGAATATTGCAACAGCCTCTTATGGATACTCCAGACTTGTTTTCTACCCAATCCATCATCTACCCACAGCCAGGCAGCTCTTGGGAAGATGCAAGTCTAATGTTTCCTCCACTTAAAGCATCCCATCACCAAAAGAATAATTAGTTCAAGCAGGTTCGCCCTGGTGCCTACTCCTCCAGCATGTCCTCCAGCCAGGCGCCTTCACACCCTGTGCTTGAACCACTGTGGTTCCTACAGTGCACACACACCAGCACACAGCCAGGCCTGTGCCCTGCTGCTCCCCCGCTTGGAGTGTTTCATGCACCCTCGGAAAACTCTGCTCACAAGATCCAGTTTAAGCTCTAAGGGCTCTCCAAAGTTCTCCCCAATCTCCTCATCTTCCAGGAGAATCAGTCTTTCCTCTGGGTTCCCACTCTATGCTGCACAGACTTCTGTGAGAGACTTGCCAAGCGTTAACTGGTTAGGAGCTTGCCCTGTCCCTGTGGCCTACCACTCTGCTCTCCTTCTGCCCCCATCACCCGCCCCCTCCCCCACTGGCCCCCCTAAGCCTAGCACATCCTCAGCAACACATGGGAGCCTGTGTGTGTGGAACTCAAGTTCTGGATTTTGAGCCGTCACACACAGCAATATGTTTCCTGCTGATACTAATCCAGACACCAGACTAGGTCACTAATAGGGACACACATGGAAGAAATTCTAAATGCTTTTTCTCAGCATTCCTATTTCTATTTTAAAAAATGTTTTTTTTTAAAGAGCCAGGCTGAATCATTTGAATGGCTCCTATACAGACTCCTATACTAAACTCCCCACAGATTTTCTGTTCAGAAGGAATACAATAAAAGTCTGTGATTTTGTGATGCCTTAGGACACTTCTGACAGCTCAATGGGACACAGTTCTAGCTGCCACTAATTGCATTGACTAGTTCTTGGAAGTTCTTTTCTGCAGGCTGTAATAACAGCTAACACTCGGTGTGTGTTAAATGCGCAACCTGCCACATCTTACTAACCCTCACACCTGCCCTCCTAGGGAGGGGCTCTGACTGTCCCTTTTCACAGATGAAAAAGCCAGGCATGGATAGAATAAGTAACCCTCTGGTGACTGGCAGGGCTGGCATTAGAACCCAGATATGACTGCAGAGCCAAGTAGGATCTTAACCACTACAAACTGCTGCCTTCCCCAAACATCAAATTAAAGGCCCATGGAGCAAATGCAGGACCCCCTACAATTGGCCTTCTGAGAGGGCAGCTTCCCTCTCCAGCTGCTCAAGCCACCTGCAATCCCAGGAAGAGAGGGTCACATGTACCAGGCACTTCTGTACTAGCAGAGCAGTCCAGGGCAGTGAAGGGAACTTGTCAGCTGCCCCTGGTGGCATACAGTGCTTTCTCAGCAAAGACCCACCACCCTAGCACCAAGACTCCACTCTTAGAGGCCTGCAATGGCCTCTGAAGA